GCGGCTTGCTCGAGGCCTCCTTCAAACGCACGCAACGCAAGATGCTTCAAGAGTTACGTAAATGTTAGATAAAAGTTATAATATCGCGTTATTTATATTTATCATGCGTGAAACGAAAAATCTTCCTCTATATTTGTTTCAAACTATTTCTATACACGGTGTTCAACCAACCCTGGGAAAAATTTTAATGGGAGATTCTAGAGACCAAAATAAGACGAAAATCAAGGATACTAATTTGTTGATTGAGGCTTCGTTAAAAAGTTATCCGGCCACACAGTATATATTTGGTAAAGAATTTTTTTCTCGAAAGTGCGTAGGAACTCGAGGGTATGTCTAATGACCAAAAATGGTTGTAATCGACCCCCGCAACTGAAAATATTTTTTTTAGAACGATTTGGAATTTTTTAATTTTGTCGAAAAATTTCTGCACTTTCTGAATTTTTTTCTCGAAAATGCGTAGGAATACGAGGGTATGTCTATTGACCAAAAATGGTTGTAATCGACCCCCGCAACTGAAAATATTTTTTTTAGAACGATTTGGAATTTTTTAATTTTGTCGAAAAATTTCTGCACTTTCTGAATTTTTTTCTCGAAAATGCGTAGGAATACGAGGGTATGTCTATTGACCAAAAATGGTTGTAACCGACACCCGCAACTGAAAATATTTTTTTTCGAACGATTTGAAATTTTTAAATTTTGTCGAAAAATTTCTGCACTTACTGAATTTTTTTCTTGAAAATGCGTAGGAATTCGAGGGTATGTCTAATGACCAAAAATGGTTGTAATCGACCCCCGAAACTGAAAATAATTTTTTTAGAACGATTTGAAAAGATCTTTTTTCGCCGAAAAATTTCAAGTGAAACATGTCAATGTATGGTCAGACATTTTCGGTAATGAATTTTTTTCTCGAAAATGCGTAGGATTTCGAGGGTATGTTTATTCACCAAAAATGATTGTAATGGACCCCCGCAACCGAAAATAATTTTTTTAGAACGATTTGAAATTTTTTAATTTAATTTGTTAATAACTTTGTAACGAAGCCTCAATCAACAAATTAATATCCTTGATTTTCATATTATTTTGGCCTCTAGAATCTCCCTATATACTGCTATATTACCACCCCTTGTTATGGATTGACCATCAGTATCAAAAATATTAAATTTACTTTCATCAGAGAAGAGTACTCTAAAAACTCTAAATTTGTATTTTTTTTTTCGTCCCACTTCTCTTAAATCGTATCTAGGATTTTTAAAAACTCTCTGGATAATTATACGGCGAACACCGACCTTATTTTCTATTTAGACACGTAAAATAGACGCGACAGTCGACCCGCCGATAGAAAGATATATTTATTCATGTTAAAAATGTTCTTTCGTGCTCCTCTCGGATTATAATACTCCTCCCCGGAGCGCGCGTCTCCCACTTTGAAAAACACGCAGCTTCAGTCGCTGTGTTGCACGGTTATTATGTCCGTGCGGGACTTAACGCGACGGATTCGAATGCAAAGCATCCCTTCTGACTACACGTTCGTGTTCCTCTTTTTCCTAACGTTTTACCACGGTCGTCGCACACCTATGCTGCGCGTTCTCGCCTTCCGTGTTGCGCTGCACTTGTCGCCTATATGGCGTCCCACATGCGCTGACTCTTTAGTCCGCACTATCGCCAAAGAGGCTCTGAAAAACGCGGTCGGGTTAAATTCCGTCGCGTAAACGAGCTCTTCGCGGGCGTTCGCGCGTTTTAAACCGGTCGCCACAAACCCTGACGTCGCAGCCAGCCCGTTGGGACCGTTAGTAATCGCTAACAAACCGTGCAGGGCGATTCCAGCGGCGAGAAATCTTTTCTATTAGGCTTTCCCCGACACCACGCACGCCTATCCTGGGCGCAGTTCGTCAGACACTTTTGTTAACTTTCTATAACCTTAGGGGAACAATGCTGGGTGTCCTCGTGGCTTAGAAACCCACCCTTGAAACTTCGAGTCTCCGCGCGTTTCTATTATTTAGAACCGATACGACTGGAACAAGTTCGAATTTTATCGAAGAATTATCTTCTGTTTCCTTGGACTTTATAGTGGGGATATATATATAAACAATGTAGAGCTACCCCCGTATTCGTACACCGTAATGGTGAACATGTTTCCTACGAATTCTTTCCATTTATTTCTATTAATGCTCTCTATTACACTGTGTTGCTTCTATTTAAGAAATAGATTCATTATTTAATATTAATGGGCAAGAAATGCCCAATTACGAAACCGATAGAGAGGTATGATATGAACTATGATAAGTAAATAGTGACAACAATACGTGGTGTTCCCTAAGCGGGGACACATCCTCTATAGAAATTTAAATTCATTTTCAATCAAATAAACAATTTATAATCCAGTTTTAATTATTAAATGTTTGTGTCGAATCATAGTAACTCGATAGGATAGACACAACAGTGACAAAAAAAATTCTTTGTCGAGCTGGATTCGACATAGGATGGCAAAGGGTTAGCTAGTCAGCTGTCTGATTAAATTGGTTAGATTTCCCTGCAGCCCCCGACGCGTTCAACCGATATGCGTCGAATTAACTAGATTAAGCGTCGACCGCCATGGAAATCCTCCATCTCGTGCAACATAGGCAAACAGATGCGTCGTTACACAAATCTCCCAAAGCTTCTAACACACAGCCCCGCGATTAGGGGCGGAATTAAGAGTACCTGTCGGCAAGCCAGACAGAATACGCTCGAATTACAAACGAGTAATTTTTAAGTAGGATTTGGCCGTAAGCAAAATCGAAACTTGACGAGAAGGAGATCCAAGGTGGTATCTGGAATTCGAGGAACATCGTAAATCAACCCCCTGTCGATGCAGCGGATTCTCGTGGGTAATTCCTGGCCTCGACGACGACTGCCATAAAAAAAAAAGTTTCACTGAGATCCCGTCGCGAGATGAAAAGTCGTGATCTTCCTCCGTGAGAAAATAAAATGTGACCCGATGAAAGAAGCCTGAATAAACGCGCGGGAACTGTGCGGAACGCAGAGAAGGGCGCGGTTCAAATTTTAACAAGCACGTACCCGTTAACGAGCGTCTCAATTAAAGCCGATATGAGTGCAAGATGACCTGAAATCGTATGACTCGCCCACTTGTCGACGAACTGCACCCACGTTCTTCACGATCCACTCCCGTTCCCGACGATCCGCCTCGTCCGTGGTCTAGACGCTAGAAAACCATCCGACGTTCCTACCACGCGTCAATTTCGATCATTTTTTTTAAACAAACCCCGTTCTCGACGTGGGAATTTTGTCTTAGCCTGATCCTTACATTGCCAGTTCCAAGTTACATACTCCAAGCTTCCGCACTTTCCCCATTGTTTTTAAATGAAGCACGTTCCTCGTCCACGGTCAACCAGAACACAACTCATCGTTTATGGCGAAAAATCATTAACTCTCAAAACAAGAATTCATATTTCCTTTCGTGTCGAAAAAGGTAATTACATGCTTTGCTTATAGTAGACAGAATGTAATCTGTTTTCACTTATTTTCAACATATTAATTTTACAAAGTGGTTGCACTGTAATTACACTGCGATTACAAAACAATTCTCGTGTAATTATAATATAAATGCAGTTTAATTACAATGCAATTTGCGAAAATAATGTGAACAGATTACTATTTACCCAACACCGACAACAAAGTAGAAACGTTTAGTCTCCATAGTTTCGATTAAAGTGCCTTTTTCGCGAAATTTATTGAACGATAATTAAAACATTTAAAATTTCAAATTTACTAATGGACGATCGCTAACACAAAAATCTTTTGTTTCCAAAGTTTTGAAAGTGATATATACCTATACGTTGTACACCTTTGTGTCTGTTTAAAGCATCCTTCGCAAGACTGCTGAGCAAGGTATTCTATTTATTTATTTACCTTTTGCATCGAATACGGGGGATAATAAAAAATAAAAAACAAAAAGACCGTTGTACGCGACGTGGGCAAGGAAAAGGCGGTGAATCGAAACGACGTCAGGTGTAAAAGAAATGCCATAAGGTGTTCGACGAGCTCGCGGAAGAGGACTCGTGTCGGTTCGATTCGTTTCGCGGAGAACCGATCGTTTGATGTAACATTAAGGCATTACTGGAAACAACCGGTCAGACGGAAAGGCGGTTCGGTTGCGAAAACAGCAACGAGTGGCACGCCATCCTCAATAATTCAGGGACGGTTCTATCTTTCACGACGAGTCACTGCTACCCCGGGGCCTCTCCGAAGGAGGATACTCGCCGAGGGCTGATTATGATCGCCAGAAGCCCACCAGCAACACGGACGCTCGAACGGGAGTGTCCATCCTCGAAGGAAAAAATAAAGCCTCGAGAGAGAAGAAACAGTGGCGGACGATAAAAGAGGAGTCCATTGTTCGTTTTGAATTGGCCGTTTCCAGATTCGGATGTATCGATCTAGCGGTTAGAATAGCGAATTTAACGAGCGCGGATTGTTACCGTGGACGCTTTAATATCGTTCCCATTGAATCTGCGAACTGGCGTTGGATAATAATGGACCTTAATAAAATATCGTCGTTTGTGCAACTTCATTATTCTGCCGATGGCGGGAAGAAAATTGCTCGCCGGAGCCGCAATTATTGCGGTAAATTTCAAAGAGAAATTCCTACACACGCGCCGACTTTTCCCAATCGTGATTTAGCAAAAATAAAAATACAGCAAGCGTTGCTTAACACTGTTTCAACCGCGGTTTGTATGCACGCGCATTTTGACCGGAAAGTCTTTTAATCGCGGAACGATTCTTCATCCCTTGACGTACGATTTAATACCAAATAATTTTTCAAGCGTATGCTATTTAATTTCAATTAATTTCGAATGGTCGTGAAAGAGAATACCTCGTTCATTTCAATTTATAAGACTCTATGACGAATCATATTCAAATTGTCAATGGTGACTTTCGCGTTTGGTAGAAATAGTGTTAAGTCTTAATGATAGGAGAATCTTTGATATTAAAATATAGTTTACCTTGTTCGTAAAAACGGGCCAATTTAGAAGCACTGATATACTGAAAGATTCCAGGAAAATCTGAAGATCGTTAGGTTCGCTTACCTCCGGGAGAGAATCTGGAAACAAAGATAAAGAAAAAATAATTCAAATCGTAAAGAAGTTTCTTGCGAGGAGTACGCTTTATGCAGAATCGGGAACTACAACACAGTATTCCACAATAAAGCTCCAATTAGACGATGATCGATAACATTGAAAGGAACACAGAATACTGCTCGACAACAGAATCGGAGCAAAAGCTGGTTAATATCAATTAATTGAAAAAATATCATTTTATTTCTATGTTATTATCGTAATCGTATATGTATTTAGCATCACGAATATATTTTTATGACGAAGTGGGCCAACTAATCACACTGTGAGACCCCTCAAGCTCAATATTTGTTTTCTTTGTGCTATCCACAAGGTTTACTACCAATTACCAATGAAACTGCTTCCGGAATATTTTCCCACCCGTAATTGACATTGATGACGATTATTGTTTCTGCAACGCGAAAGAATTCCGACCCAGTGCGCGACGGTCGATCGTTTGACGGAAAACCAACAGTTACCCTTAGGTCTCCTAAGAATTTAGGTCGCCTGTACCGTGAGTGTCTGCCCTTTAAGCCCTTCCGTGCCACTTTCCGGATCGTCGATCTCACTTGAACGCCCCAGCTCCGCACATCTCGTCAGAAGTATCCTGACTTCGCAATAATTCTACCATCCGCCCCCGCTGGGACTTCGTGTTATCGATCTGACCGCGATAGAACATCCCCTCGTATCCGTACGTTATCGTGCACAGATTTCACCTGTTCCCTTGCACTTTGTTGAACGTTTCCAAAAGAAAATCCCTTCCCATCGTCGTTCGTCCGCGGGTCTCGAACTCGAGTCGTTTGGGGGACTTTAGAACCAACGCTTCGAATTATAAAATATAATAACAGAACCGGGGATCGAAACGATCTTAAAAATAATTTTTAAACTGTTATTCATCGGTCTTGACCGAAACATTAATTCCAGAATGTGATATGAATACGGAAAAATCGACGAGGGTGTGAAATTATATGAAGAAATGTCCAATTTGGCGCGTAATAAATTTTCTTGCAGGTTTTGCGACACCTCTGTACTCGCGTTCTTCCTTTAATCGATCGTTGATTAAACCAGACTCGATTCGGACGCGAAAGTGGCCCATAAATCGGCGGCTAAGCCTGATTCAAGACTCCTGGTGTTTGTTTCTATCATCGAGGATCGCGATCCTTCCAGCGAACAGTTATTTATCGTTATCGTCGAATCCCCGAACCACAGAGTATCTCAGCCACGATGTTGCATTCTTTATTGTTACTGGTTGATACGAAGTTATCACTCGACAATCAGATATTCTTGTTTTAAATGAATTAAAGACAAAGTGGCTGATCGTATAAAAACTTTCCAATATAAATTATCCCGTTCGTAATAAAAATACAATAAAGAATTTTGAAATATTTTCGAAGTAATTGTTTCCATAAATCTGGTACTTTAATTTAACAGAACTCTATAGTTTTTACCGAGTTTATTCGATTCGGTTTTTCAGCTCGTGAAACGGAAAGCAAGGCTGATGCTAGCGAATCGGCTGGTCAAAAGGCCAAATGGAATTAAAATGCACAATATCGTTAAACATATGTGCGAATTCACGGCCTCATTCCCGTCGATCGGCTCTGACATTTAAATGGAAATCTCGCGATGCACACGAAGATCCTTTCGCGTTTAAAGAGTCCCCCGCGTACGCAATATGTCGAAGTTTCACGCGAATTAATGAATTATACGCCGACGAACGTGAGAACGTTCGTTTCTTGTTCGACCGTCTACCATCGACGTTGGAAAATTCTGTTATTCCGTTGTCTTAAAGAAGTTTACAGCTTCGAGGTGCTGAACAAATTTCATCATATTATTTTCAAAAACTGCATTTCACGTTGGTTACACGCAGAATCAAATTGTCTCGCCCGGGGAAGGAACTGCAAAAACGAAAGAGATATTTGCTCGTTTAATCGCGGCGGAGCACGTACCGCCGAGGAAATTGTTTTAACGACATTAATCCCTTGTTTTCAAGAAACACGTCCCTGCAAAGCGCGGATAGAAATTTAAACAAGTGGCGGGCAATTTTTATTTGGAAACCGCAACGGAGAGGACTCAGACCTTGGCAGTTATTTACCTGCTCGAGACAACTAAAAAACCGGAGGTAAACTAACTCCAGGCAGAGCTTGTAGTACGCTTTGCCCGGTAAATTGGCTGGAAAGCTGCTTCAATTAGAAACTTTTTCATTGGCCTTGTTGGCTCTCGGTCTCGATAAAAATCGAGAAATCAATTTAACGACAGTTTCTCAATTAGCGATAAACAAATTTTTCTTTGAACCGAATCTTCAAACGAGGACACAAAATTAGTACAGTAAAAAATTTGTATTTACTGAAATTCACCTTCCAATTTATATCTCGTCATATTGTATAATTTTTTATTGAGAAGCTGGACGTAATTTTGATTATGGAAGTTATAGTTATGTTGAAAAACGGGTGAATTCGTTGCATAAACGGTACTAAAGTAACGGCATAAAACTGACAATTTGTCTCTTTATCTTTCGAACGATCCTCGTATTTGAAATTAGTACAATCGTGTCGTTTGTCGCACGTGCTATTTTGTCGCCGCGGTATAAACGGTCGACATACTTTTCCATACAAATACCTCATTGTGCGACGTCCACGGAAATTTTCAAGCGAGCCTGAATGAAAGTATTTGATTCATAATGAGGCGGCGTCGACGTCTACTAGTTTCGAAGCGGTTGCCAGAGCCTCTTTGAAATGTTAATTCTAGCCATTACGCGCAATCTTGGCACACTGACCACTTTAGTTTCGCCCGTGAATGGAAGACCCAACGCCCGATTCTCGTTTCCATGCTCGAACGGGACAAGGAACCGTGTATCCTTTTTCTCCACGTATTATTCCTCATAAAAGAATCCCCGTCCGTAAAACTGACACTCGTAAAAAACAATAAAAACCACCAACGCGGGATACTTTCGGGTTTCATTCTCGTAAGGGGCAAATAAACTTTGCGAGCATCGATCGTAACCGCCACGAGGAGCAAAAGGAACCTAACGTTTCGTGGGAAATAAATTCCGTCGTCCAGGAACGCCGAGACATTTAAGAAACAAATCGGAGGAAGGTCGACGGAGACAAGCATCCGCGAAAATGTCATTCATAGTCGCAATATTTGCTTGATGTTGTTCTTTAAACGCAGAGTCGATGGTCAATAGCGTGGAACTTCATTTATTGGAACGAAATATTCATCAAACACCTCTGGTCTAGTATTTTTTATTTTTTTTTTTAATGGTATCTTTACTGATATATTTGTTAGGTTTTTCTGATTAAAATAAGACCGAACACGGTATAATTTGAATCATGTTTGCGTATTTAATGAGTGACAATATACTGTATTAGAAATATGTGAAATTATATCGTGATTAGTCTTATTTTAATCGGAAAAATAGAAAAGTTGTAAAAGATGCAAATAAAATTAATTTACAGTGTTTGAGAGATTTTAAGGAACTAGTATTTGTAAAATATATCTACTATTTTCACTGTTCAACCAAATAAAGAATTTAATTATCAAGCTTTATCTAATTACTGTCCTTGCTAGACATTTCCACGTTCACAAAAGAGGAACAAGCTAAATGTATAATTAAATTCGCTTATCTAAGGATTCCAGTTAATTGAATGAAAAGTTGTAAATAATGAGCACAATTAGTGGATTATATGAGCAATTTCACATAAATTCCGCTGTACAATTGTTTTGGGACGTCCACGTATTGCGGAGTTTCCACCTGTTATACGACCCTTTCAACTTCCTCAAATCTCTATTATAATACGAAGCTGCTTCGCGGGAAAACATATTCCATATGTTGTATTTACAAATAAAATTGAAACTCGTCTCTACGTCAACGTGTTAATTGCAGATGCACGGGTAGTTTCCAGATGGAATAAGCTAATTAACCCACTTTTAGTTCGTAGATTATTGCTTGTACATTCAACGAACAAATATTACTCCTCGACTCTTGTGAATTTAGAATATTTGTATAATCGTTTAGACTAATCGTGCAAAAAATAACATTTCTCCTACAGTATTTCTGAGATATGACGTTGTGCTTTCGACTAGAATCCGACGTTTGGTGTCCACGGTAGAGTTTTGCTCTCGAGAGTCTTTACGCGCTGACACGCGATGATCAACCTTGCTGCAATTACGAGCGAGGAAACTTCCAAGCACGAAGGTTCCTCTCAGCGTGAAAGAAACCTCCCCCGGTCGCCTCCAGACGTTGATAGCGACTCTTGAGAGCCAAAGCTCTCCGCTGGATGCCAAAGCATAATGGCGGCGTGCGCCTGAAAGCGCCTTCTTTCTTTTTCGCTCGCGAGTGCGTTAAGGACACGTGGCGAGGAACGCGAACCGAAAGCGAAAGGATCTGCTGGTTGACAAGGTGGAGCAATGACAGGTTCAAGGTCATCGAAGAGGGAGATTGCGAAACAAGGACGACTGCAGCTGTCCTCGGGCACGGGACGCTACACCTGCGAGACCCACGACACACTCGACGCCCACGTTCCTCTCACGATCACCATTACGAAACACCAAACGAACTCGAGCAGCCAGTTCGAACGCAGAAAACGAGAAGAGCTTTCGAGAACACGATCGATGGCGAGGGGGAGGAAAAATGACGAGGCAAGAATTTGGATACATTCCAGATTCTTAACCCTTGCAGCCCTAGCGAGATGCACACGATGTATCGCGTAGATTAAAAATAAAAATCGAAACTTCCGAAAGAACCCTTATACTTTTGCGAATCGATCGATGTACAAGAAAGTGTACATTTTTTATCGAACAAAAAGGATTTTGCTAATTTTTATTACTCCCATTTCTCGTCAACCGATCACTGACTAACTTTCGTTCGAAAGATTTTTTTATTGTTTTAGCAGAAACACTTCAAACATCGTAGTGATCGTTGGATGACTACCGTTCAGTTATCCGATCGAAAATGACGCACAGTTATCCGAGCATTGCTGTAATAAGC